GTCGGAGACCAGATACTACAATGGCTCAAGAGGTAAAACAAAGCAATAAAATTCTATGCAACAGGATGAACAGAAACCTACCTCACTTATCAATTCCTTCAATAAATGTGAATGGCTTGAACATCCCACTGAAGAGACATAGGCTGGCTGAATGGATAAAAAAATACAAGCCAAGTATCTGCTGTCTCCAGGAAATGCATCTAACGCATCTAACGCACAAGGACTCATTCACACTCAAGGTGAAGGGATGGAAAACAATATTCCGTGCAAATGGAAACCAACAGAAAGCTGGTGTAACCATTCTCACATCAGATAACATAGACTTCAAATCAACAAAAGTACAGAAAGAAAAGATGGTCATTATTTAATAGTGAAGGGAACAATTCAACAAGAAGACATAACAATCCTAAATATCTATGCACCTAACATAGGTGCACCCAGATTCATAAAGGAAATCCTACTCCATCTAAACAAAATAATAAACACCAGCATTGTAATAGCAGGGGACTTCAATGCTCCACTGACAGAATAGGACAGATCCTCCAAACAGATAATAAACAAAGAGGCTAGGCATGGTGGCTCATGCCTGTAATCCTAGCACTCTGGGAGGCTGAGATAGAAAGATCACTTGAGCTCAGGGGTTTGAGACCAGCCTGAGCAAGAGTGAGACCCCATCTCTACTCAAAATAGAAAAATTATCCAGGCATTGTGGTGTGCACCTGTAGCCCCAGACACATGGGAGGCTGAGCCAGGATCATGGCTTGAGTCCAGGAGTTGGAGGTTGCAATGTGAGCTATGATGACAGCACTACACTCTACCCAGGGAGACAGAGCAAGACTCTGTCTTAACAGAAAAAAAGGAAACAGAAAACAAACAAAGAAACAATGGACTTAAACAGGACTCTAGAACAAATGGGCCTAACAGACATTTACAGAACATTCTACCCCAAAACTACTGAATATACATTCTTCTCAACAGCTCATGGAACATCCTCCGAGATTGATCACATCCTAGGCCATAAAACATGTCTCAATAAATTAAAAAAAAAAAAGAAATTATACCATGTATCTTCTCAGACCACAGGGGAATAAAATTAGAAATCAATTCCAACAAAAACACTCAACTCTATACAAAGTCATGGAATTAGCCTACTGCTGAATGATTATTAGGTCAAGGAGGAAATTAAGATGGAAATCAAAGATTCTTCAAAGTAAATGACAAAGGGGACACAAGTTACTAAAATCTGTAGGATTCTGCAAAAGCAGTCCTAGGAGGAAAATTCATAGCCTTAAATGCCTACTATGTCCAAAAGACAGAAAGATCACAAACCAACAATCTAATGAATCATCTCAAGGAATTGGAAAAGGAAAAGTGAACCAATCCCAAACCCAGCATAACAAAAGAAATAACTAAGGTCAGAGAAGAACTAAATGAAATCGATAACAAAAGAATTATATAGATGAATAATAAAACAAAAAATTGGTTCTTTGCAAAGATTAACAAAATTGACAGGCCTCTCACTAGATTAACCAGAGATAGAAAAGAAAGGACCCCAATAAACTCAATCAGAAATGAAAAAGCAGGCCAGGCACGGTGGCTCATGCCTGTAATCCTAGCACTCTGGGAGGCCAAGGCCGGCGGATTGTTTGAGCTCAGGAGTTCGAAACCAGCCTGAGCAAGAACGAGACCCCGTCTCTACTAAAATTAGAAAGAAATTAATCGGACAACTAAAAATATATAGAAAAAATTAGCCGGGCATGGTGGCACATTCCTGTAGTCCCAGCTACTCGGGAGGCTGAGGCAGAAGGATTGCCTGAGCCCAGGAGTTGGAGGTTGCTGTGAGCTAGGCTGACACCATGGCACTCTAGCTCGGGCAAAAGAGTGAGACTCTGTTTCAAAAAAAAAAAGAAATGAAAAAGCAGATATTACAACTGATACCATGGAAACAGTATACAAAATATCATCTCTGAATACTATAAAAATCTCTATGCACGTAAACTTGAAAACATTGAGGAAATGGACAAAATCCTGGAAACACACAACCTCCCTAGGCTCAATCAGGAAGAAATAGAACTCCTGAACAGACCAATATCAAGTAACAAAATTGAAGCAGCAATAAAAAAAAAAACCTTCCAACAAACAAAGTCCCAGATCAGACGTTTTCATAGCCGAATTTTACCAGAGCTACAAAGAAGAACTGGTACCTATACTGTAGAAATTATTTTGTAACATTGAGAAGTAAGGAATTCCTCCCCAACTTGTTCTACTGAGCCAATATCACCTTGATACCAAAGCCAGGAAAGGACACACCAAAAAAAGAAAATTACAGATCAATATCCCTTACGTAAATAGATGCAAAAATTCTCAATAAAATCTTAAGCAAACTAAATTCAGCTACACATCAATAAAATAATCCACCATGACCAGGTGGGTTTCATACCAAGATGAAAGGATGGTTCAACATATGCAAATCTGTAAATGTGAGTGACCGCACAAATAAAAGCAAAAACAAAGAACATATGATCCTCCTGATAGATGCAGAAAAAGTATTTGACAAAATTCAGCACCCTTTTATGATAAGAACTCTTAACAAAATAAGTACAGAGGGAACATACCTCAAAATTATAAATTATATGACAAACCCACAGCAAACATCATACTTAATGGGGAAAAACTGAGAGCATTCCCTCTTAGAACTGGAACCATACAAGGTTGCCCACTGTCACCACTTCTATTCAACATAGTGCTGAAGTCCTAGCCAGAGCAATCAGGCAAGAAAAGGAAATCAAGGGCATCCAAATGGGGAAAGAAGAGGCCAAACTATCGCTCTTTACTGATGATATGATCTTATTAATATATCTAAAAAACCCCAAAGATTCTGCCAAGAGACTCCTGGAATTGATAAATAAATTCAGCGAAGTCTCAGGTTATAAAATCAATGCACACAAATCAGTAGCATTCCTATAAGCCAATAACAGTCAAGCTGAGAATCAAATCAAAGACTCAATACCTTTCACAATAGCAACAAAGAAAATAAAATACCTAGGAATATATTTAATCAAAGAAAGGAAAGACCTCTACGGGGAGAACTATGAAACACTGAGGAAGGAAATTGTAGAAGATGTAAACAAATGGAAAAACATATCATGCTTGTGGATTGGTATTTTATTGTTAAAATGTCTATACTACCCAAAGTGATTTACAGATTCAATGCAATCCCCATTAAAATACCAATATCATTTTTCACAGAGCTAGAAAAAATAATTCTACACTTCATATGGAACCAGAAAAGAGCCCAAATAGCCAAGGTAACCTTAAGCAAAAAGAACAAATCAGGAGGCCTCACTTTATCAGACTTCAAGCTATACTACAAAGCTATAGTAACTAAAACAGCATGATACAGGCACAAGAACAGAGACATAGACCAATGGATCAGAACAGAGAGGTCAGATATAAAACCATCTTCATATTGCCATCTGATCTTTGATGAAGCAGACAAAAACATACAATGGGGAAAAGAATCCCTATTCAATAAATGGTGCTGGGAAAATTGGTAGCCACATACATTAGACTGAAACAGGATCTGTACCTCTCACCACTCATAAAAATTAATTCATGATGGATAACAGACTTAAACCTAAGGCATGAAACTATAAGAATTCTAGAAGAAAATGTTGGAAAAACTCTTATAGACATAGGCCTAGGGAAAGAATTTATGAAGAATGCCCCCAAAGCAAGCACAGCAACAACAAAAATAAACAAATGAGACCTGATCGAATTAAAAAGCTTCTTCTACATAGCCAAGGAAACAATCAATAGAGTGAATAGACAACCTACACAACGGTAGAAAATAATTGCATGCTATATATCAAACAAAGGTCTGATAACCAGAATCTCCAAAGAACTCAAGCAAATCAGCAAAAAAAGAAAAAAATTCAAACAACCTCATTAAAAAGTGGGCAAGAGACAGGAACAGAAACTTTTCAAAAGAAGATAGACTAATGGCCAAAAATAAAATATGAAAAAATGCTCAATGTCTCTAATCATCAGGGAAATGCAAATTGAAACCACAATGAGATATCACCTAATTCCAGTAAGAATGGCTTTTCTCAAAAAATTCCAAAACAACAGATACTGGCATGGATGCAGAGAGATAGGAACACTTATACATTGTTGGTGGGACTGCAAACTGGTACAACCTCTATGGAAAGTAGTATGGAGATACTTCAAAGAACTAAAAGTAGACCTACCATTTGATCCAGCAATCCTACTACTGGGTATTTACCCAAAGGAAAAAAGGACATTTTATAAAAAAGACACCTGCAACTGAATGTTTATAGAAGCACAATTCACAATTGCAAAGATGTGGAAACAACCCAAGCGCCCATCAATACATGAATGGATTAATAAAATGTGGTATATGTATACCATGGAGTACTACTCAGCCATAAAAAAAAATGGTGAACTAATACCTCTTGTATGAACCTGGATGGAACTAAAGACCATTCTTCTAAGTGAAGTGTCACAAGAATGGAAAAACAAACACCACATGTATTCACCATTAAATCGGACAACACTTACATGCACACATAGAAATAAAACTCATCCGAAATCAAGTAGGTGGGGGGTGGGGAGGAGAAGATGAGTAAATTCACACCTAACAGGTACAATGCACACTATGTGTGATGGGCACATTTATAACTTTGACTCAAACTGTACAAAAGTAATTTATGTAACCAAAATGTTTGTACCGTAATAATCTGAAATTAAAAAAAAAAAAACCCTGATATTTGCCATGGCATGCAGTTTTTTAAAAACATCAAAGTGCCTATCCTACACCAACTAAAATGGTAAGCAATTTCTAAGCCTAGTCCCAGAAACATTCAGTTTATACTCATTGCCCAACTCTGAAGAATATGAGAGCACTGCAGCTGCATGAAAAACCAATAATTGACCTGCAATGGGCTTTTCCTGGGGTAGGCTACAGTGACTGTACTTACTGGAATCCTCCCACTGGAGTAAGTGTAGCTTCCATGCAGAATAATACAAAAATCCCAGTACCAGAAAGAGGCAGAGGGCTAGCAGCAGATTGCGCACAAATACCAAGAGTCCCATCTTCGCATGATTTACGATTTCCTACATGACCTAAAAACAAAACAAAACAAAACAATTTAGTTCTTAAAAGATAAAGTACTCATCTTATGGATATACTCTACCTTAAAATAAAGTATCTATAGAGAGAATTCCCAAATGAAGAACAACCTAGAGTTACCACTTTCATGACATGGCATCTTCCAACCTGCTCAAGGGAGTAGCATCACAATCATCCAGCACCTAAGCCAAAAATCAGCAGCCATCCTTGCTTCCCTACCCCAATCCCTGACATCTAGTCAATGACCAAGTTCTGGTAATTCTAACCTCCAAATAAATCTTAAATCATATCCCCCTTCCCACAATCACTACCCTAGTCCATACCATAACTGTATTCCTACAAACAAGTTTCCCTGTCTCCAAATTTACATTCTCCAAATACATTTTCCCCGCGGCACAAGAAGTCTTTTAATAATACAAAATCTGGTAATGTTATTTCCCTGCTGAAACCCCTTTTTATTACTTTTCTATTGCTGCTGCAGCAGAGTACCACAAACCTAGCAGTTTAAAACAACACAGATTTATCTCAGAGTTCTGAAGGTCAAAATCCGGGTATAGCATGGCTCAGCTGGGTCCTTTGCTTAGAGTCTCACAAGGCCAAAACCAAGGAGAGTCGGCAGGGCTGTGTTCCTTTCTGGAGGCCCTAGAGAAGAATCCACTTCCAAGCTCATTCAGGCTGCTGGCGGAATTCAGTTCTTGCAGCTGTAGACCCCCAGTTCCTTGCTGGTTATCAGATGGGGGCCAGCCTTTGCTCCTGTAGTCCTTTTAATGCTTTCTATGTGGGTCCCCTCAGCCTCTCTCACTCTTTGAATCCTTCCAACTTCCCCTTCTACCACATCTTGCTTCTGCTTCCAGCCAGAGAAACTTCTTTGCTTTTCAGAGCTCATGTGATTATATTGGGCCCACTTGAATAATCCAGGATAATCACCCCATTTTAACATCCATATCCTTAATGACATCTGCAAAGTCCCTTGTGCCATGTCAGGTAAAATATTTATATGTTCCAGGGATTAGGGTATGGACATCTTTAGGGAACCCATTCTGCCTAACATACCTTTCATTACATTTTCAATTCCTTTGAATAAAGTAACTTCCCCTTAAAGCCTAGCAGCTTCTGACTGAGCCCCTATTTACTTCTCCATCCCTTGCTTCTCCCAACCTCATTTGTGCCCTATGATCCCATCATTTTTCTTTCTATTCATTGAACACTGCCTTGACGTCTCTCTCCTCAAGGCCTATCTGGAATACATTCTCCACCCACTCTGCTATTGCACCTGCTGCACATCCTTTGATACTCACCTTAAATATAAAATTTAACATCGATGGAGAAGACTTCCCTGGATCAGGGCTCCCCCAACCCTAATCAGATACCCTAGCCACAAAATAACACAAGAGAAAGAAATTATGTCTAGATATTAAGAATGAAGTGACTAAAAGTTATAATTTGCAGATTCCATAATTGTCCACCTAGAAGAGCCAAGAGAATCAACCAAAAAATCATTAGAACTAATAGGAAGTTCAATAAAGCAGGTGATTATAAGATTACACTTGATCTTAGCCAAAAGGCCAAGAAGCGATGATTATAAGATTAATTTACAAAAATCAGCAGCTTCTTAAAAACTACACCAGCAATAACCAATTAGAAAATGTAAGGTGAAAAAATTCCATTTGTGATGGCAACGAAATCTATAAAATACCTAAAAATAAACTTAGCAAGAAATGGTCAAGACTTTCACCGAAGGACATAAAAGATCTAAGTAAATAAAGAGACATAATAGGTTCTTCTCTTTTTTTTTTTTTTTGAGTCCTAATACTGATAAAAGCAAATAATAATAGGTTCTTAAGTGAGAAGATTCAATATTGGAAACATGTCGGTTCCCCTGAAATGTCAGTTCTCCATAAATTCAGTTTAATTCCAGTCAAAATCCATTAATTTTTTCAACTTGAAAATAAGGATAATCTGAAGAGTTCATGCCCAAGACAACCCTAGAAATTTCTTAAAATGAAAAATAATGAGATGAGAATTTGCCTTACCAGATACCAAACCAATTCGAAGTTATAATTTTTTTAATATCTCAAAATATTAATTAAGGGGGTACAAGTGTTTTTATTACATGGGTATCTTGCATGATGCTTAAGTCAGGCTTTTGGTGTGCCCACCACCAGAATAGTGTTCATTATACCCAATAGGTTAAGTTTTTATCCGACACCCACTCTCCTGCCCTCCCCTCTCCTTGGTTTCTCATGTCCTTTATATCGTCAAAGCCATAACTATTAAGATAGATGGGTACTGGCACAGGAAAAAAAACAGATCAATGAACAGAATGGAGTCCAGAAATGAGCTCTCTCAGATAAAGAAATACATATACACACACATATGAATGAGTCTGCTTTATATATACATATATACGAATTTACTCCATTTATTCTGTGCTAAGCATATAAATATTAAAAGGCGGGAAGGGTCTGACAGGCTACATAGCTAACAGTCAGCATGGTTACCTCTAAGGAGTAGGATGCGGTGATGAGAAGTAGATGGGTCTGGGGAGGACTTTTACTTCTTTCTTTACATACTTTTGAATTAAACATATTTGTTATAAGTCACAAGCATTGGCTCGATAACTTTTTAATACTGAAAATATCAAACACCACACTGTACAAATGTAAATTGGTAGACTCTTCCAGGAGTAATTAAGAAGTAGCTATTGAAATTTGCAACATTCATATACATGGACCCAGCATTTCTATGACTTTTTCCTCAAGAAACACTCCATCAAATACTAAAAAGGACATGTACATAAATGTTAATTAGTAACACAGATGACAAGAACAAAATACTAGAAACAGTTCAAATGCTCAACAATAGGGAACCTGACAAATGAATTACGGTAGGTCTCCGCAGTGGCATCAGTTCGGGTCTTGGCAGGAAACAGACGGTGCACGCAAAGGAGTAAACTGAAGGAAGAAGCTTAATGGCAGGATTCTTTACAGCAGTGTGAGTAGGCCTTAAAGGAACCATCGAGGGATGGTAAAGGATCTAGGGACTGGTCACAGCAGGAATCTACTTCTACCCTTTGGCTTGGAAGGGCAGAGAAGAGAAGGGTGTCACTGGAGCCAGCAGGTGCTGGCTGGAGAAGAGAGAGCACCAACAGGAGCAGTGGCCACAGAGGAGCACAGCTGCTACCAGGACCATGGCAAGGGGCAGTGGGGGATGGGAAACACTCTGACCTCTCTCACCACTCGCCCTCTACTCTCCTGTGGGTGCCTTTTAGCAGCTGATCCTAAGTGGGAGCCAGAGGGCAAGGACATCCAGATGATGCTGTTCGTAAAGTTGAGCCACCAGCACACAGAGGAAAGAAGGTGGATAATGGATCTGCAAGGGCAGGAGAATAATAGGTACAGAATGCGACGTACTAGTTAGAAAGAAGGAGCACATCTGCATGTACAGACAGGGAAAAATGTCTAGAAAACACTAAGTGAAAAATATCCAGCTGTAGAATAGTATGTATAGCCCCATACTGGCAATGACAAACAAGGATGACAGTAATATTTAAAATTAAATATCAAGTACATACATAAAAATATGCACCGAACTATTGACAATAATTGTCTCAGAAAAGTAGGTTTGGAGGAAGTGTTTTTAACAATCTATTCATATATTCACTTTTAATTTTTATATTTATAAAAGTAAATGTACAAAGTTTTCAAAGTGAAATAGAAATCAGACTTCCATTTCCGCAGCACAAAGGACTGTGTATGTTTGTCCAACCTTCCCACTGAAAAGAACTAAAACTTTCAGGTATAAGTATCCTGACCACAAAAGACAGGTGGTTCTTGGAAAGCTTTTTCTTTCCTTTTAGAAGGGCCCTGAAGTGGCTGGTGCCAGTCCTTCCGCCTTCTTTCTGTGCTGAATGCAGATGGGATGGCTGAACTGCCACAGCCAGAAGCTCTGGCAGACACAGGACAGTGAGTCAATAGGTTTACTCATTCGTTCCACAAATATGACACCAAGCAGGCTGAACTCATCACCTATTTTGTCTTTTCCATTAAGGAAAACAACCATCCTAAAGCAGAAACTGATTTTTAAAAGTGGACAACATACAAAAGAACAAACGAAGACCTTAAAAGAAGCTCAAATCTCCAAGATAAGGAGAACAACATCCCAAGATCCTGAAAGAGTTGTTAATTCTAAACTCACTCCTACGACAAAAGTCTGACAACATATTCTAGTGGTGCGGCTGTGGGGAAAAAACAGGCTCTCTCAGACATTGCGGGTGGCAGGAGGGATAGGGCAGTATCTAACAAAATTACACATGCTTTTCACCCTTTAACTCAATAATCTCACTTCTAAGAAACTACTCCAAAGATACACTGACAAAAATACAGAAAGTCTTATGCACATGGCCATTTATTGTAGCACTATTTCAAAGTACTCCAAATGTCCTTCAATAGGAATTGAATAAACTATGGTACATACACAAAATAAGTATTATGCAGCCATTAAAAGGAATGAGCCCTTTCCAGCCCTTCCTTTCTGAATGATGTAATCTAAAAACCAATAAGTGTTAGTGGTAGTCACATGTACCTGGGATGAATGGGGAGAGAGGGGTCTCAGTCTATGTGAGGGGTTTGGGGTATGGCAACAGGTGATCTGGGGTTGACCAGTAAGTAAATATTAATACATTGAGGGTAATGGGAGTGAGATTTGTCAGTGATGAAGGCAGTTACAAATATGAAAAGAAAAAAACTAGAATTAATCTTTTGGTTTGTATTGGAATTGGAGGTGTCAGTACAGATTGTTTTCAATATATAAAGGCATAAAAATAAATATAGATGTGGACAGCGTGTGTACACACAGACATTCTTTAGCTCTGTCCACTGAAACGGCCTGGCAGCAGTCATATCCCAACAGCAATGAGCACATCTAGTACCCTAGACCTTGGCTTTCAAACACCATTCTCCACTAGGGAGCAGGGATCCTTGGAAGAATGGCT